GCACGGGGGGCGCCGGGGGCACGGGGGGCGTGCGGTCGCACGCGCCGGCCGCTGATTCGCTGCCGCCGCCCTCGCTTTCTTTGGCTTGAGTTCGCCCAGATGCCGGCGCCTCCCTCCGTTGCTCCTGGGCTGAGCCCCGCCCGGCAAGTGCAGCAGCCCCGCGTCCCGCCTCCCGGCTAGGTCCTTCGCGACCCAGAGGTAGCGAAGGTGCCGTGGGACTGCAAGGAGGCCCGGCGTCCACACCCGGAAGCCAGCCCTACGCCTTGTTCAAGGCCCCTCTCAGCCGCAGGCACCTCTTCCGGGAGGCTTTCCCTGGACGGGCTGGCTACGGCCCTTCAGGATTCTCATTACGTCTTGATACTTTGCTTTTCATGTCCCTTTTACCACTTAACAGTAGTGGCTGTTTCATGCCTGCCACCACACCCCCACCTTAGGCAGAATTAAATGTGGTTACGTTTCACGCCCGCCCCCCACCCGTTGGACAGGCTTAATTGTCACGTCACTAAATCTCTGTTACGTGGCCCACCGCACCGCCTCCACCCACACCCCCATTTCCCCACCCTTAAGCTCTCTTTTGAACACCTTTGGACAGAAATGTTAGGTCACTCACTCTGTTTCGTGGCCTTCCGCCTCTCGTTCCCACCAACCGTCCCCCCACCATCTTCCCACCTGAGGCCATCACATTTGGACAAGATTAAGTCATTGTTTCGTGCCACCACAACTACCGCTGGACAGTATCAATTCTAACATCACTGACACTTGGTTTTGTGCCTCCCACCCCCATACTCCTTCCCATACCAACTGGCTGTTTCATTCCACCACTACCATTGGAAAGGCTCAAATTAAAGGTCATTGGCATTCTTTCATACCGCCTCACTCACCAGCACCACAACCACCACCACCAAAGGACAGTTCCCTAACTCTTTCAGGCTTCACCAACCTCCAGCACCACTATATTTGGATAGGAGTCTATGTTTACACTAGGTGCTGGGTATTTTTTCTCTGCATACCAGTGAACTTGAACTCGGGGCTCAGTATATGAAATCATGATTTCCTAATGGTGTCTGAAGTACTGCTGACTTTAACCATTTTCACCAAAACTTTATTTTTGGGAACGTATAAACATCAACTAAAAGGAAAAGTAGAATGTTCTCTAAGGAAAGGTAAAAATGTAACTGGAGACCACTCTTTTGATCTGATTAGGCTGGTTTTCTCATTGAATAAAATTATTGGTGTGTAGCTATTTAACTTTTGTGACTTTGTTGGGTATTTATGCACCCAATTCTTTGCTTACCAGTTGCATCTTTATTCTGAATTTAAAGAAAAGTAATACATACCCTCAAAGGCATCCAGTGGTCTGCCCATACTTCTAGATTTTCAAATACGTCTTGGTCATCTTGGTGGTGGTATGGTACCTAGATTACCATGTCCTCTCCATTCAAACCAAAACCTAGAAGAGATGTACTGACAACCTCTGTAGCTGGGTACTTTGCCAGCCGAGCTAAGCAATCCCGTTAGTGTGCATGGGCAGACAAAAAGAAGACCTGTAGCCTGTGATTCTTCCAGGGACTTTTGCAGGTGCTACCCGGATGTCAGAGTGTACTTGGTGATGGCTGCGGTAGTCAGTAAAGAGGAAGGTTCTCCCAACCTAAGCAGCAGAAGATTGCTGCTGATCTTTCTGAGCTGGCACATCACTTGTGTCACTATTTCCTTTTCCAGTGAACACAATCTGTGTATTCTGTGTATTCCCAAAGCAAAGTATCAAGACGTAATTTGATTACTTCAACTGTCATGTGACTAGTTTTACTTATGCTTCTCCAAAAGCTGGCAAAGTCCTAGAAGTTGGACAAAATATGAGAGAGTCTGGGGTAATATAAATTGTGCTAGTCCAGGGCTCAAATGACCGAGTCCTAAGCTTGGTTCTATCATCAACTGGCTGTGTGGCCTTAGACAAGTCACTTAGCCTTTCTCTGTCCAAGTTACTTCTTATGTCAGATGGAGATACCTGATTTCTCTCCCTGGCATCTGTGACAATCAAATGAAATAAATCATATCTAATATAAACATAAAACATTGTTCTACCTCTTTCACACAGCAATACATTTTTTAAGCTAATAGTCTCATGTTAACTGGCAAAATCCAGAAGTTAAACCAGTGAGTTGATTTCAGTACTGGTTACAGTTATAAGAGAAGGATCTTGAAAGAAATAAGTAGGTCTTGGGGCACCTGGGTGGCTCAGTAATTAAGCGGCTGCCTTCGGCTCAGGTCACGATCCCAGGGTCCTGGGATCGAGCCCCACATCGGGCTCCCTGCTCAGCGGGAAGCCTGCTTCTCCCTCTCCCTCTGCCTGCCACTCTGCCTACTTGTGCTGTCTCTCTATCTCTCTGTCAAATAAATAAATAAAATCTTAAAAAAAAAAAAGAAAGAAGTAGGTCTTGATGAACTTTTTTCAATTCCTTGTACACACCAAGGTTTGCCTGGGCCCACTCCCAGTGACTCTCAAAGCAAGATCCCTGGACCACCCGCATGAACATCACCTGGGAACTTGTTAGAAATACAAACTCTTGGACCCCAGCCCAAACCTACTGAATGATAAACTCTGGGGGTGGGGCCTGGCAATCTGTGGTTTAACAAGCTTTGAGGGTTTTAAAGACATGGCCAGAAATTCTTTGATATTCCTCCCCCCAAGAGATGGAGTTTAATTCTTCTCCCTTCGAGTGTGGGCTTGATTTAGTACTCACTTCCAACAAATAGAGGATGGCCAGAAGTGATAAGATCTCACTTCAAAGATTAGGTTATAAAATGACTTCACTCTTACAAATACCTGACCAGTGCTCCTCAAAACTATCAAGGTCATTAAAAACAAGGAACATCTGAGAAACCGTGACAATCAAGAGGAACCTAAGGAGGCATGACAACTAAATATAATGTGCTACCCTGGATGGGATTCTGGAACAGATAAAAGGACACCAAATAAAAACTACAGAATTTTTTTTTTTAAGATTTTTTTATTTATTTGACACAGAGAGCAAGAGCGAGAGAGAGCACAAGCAGGGGGAGTGGCAGAGGGAGAAGCAGGCTTCCCGCTGAGCAAGGAGCCCGACACGGGGTTCGATCCCAGGACCCTGGGATCATAATCTGAGCTGAAGGCAGACGCTTAACCGACTGAGCCACCCAGGTGCCCCAAAACTACAGAATTCTTAATAAAAGATAAACTTTGGACCAAATGTGTTTAATAATAATATATCAACGTTTGTTCACAAATTTAATGAATGTAACATATAATGCAAGCTATTAATAGTAGGGGAAATGGAGCATAGGACATATGAGAACATTGTGTACTATCTTCTCAATTTTGCTGTAAATCTGAAACTCTTTGAAAAAAATAAAGCCAATTATACAATACAGTATTAACTATGGTCATCATGTTGTACGTTATATCCCCAGAACTTATTTTAACTTATAACTAGGATTTTTGAAAGTTAAGAGTTGTTAAAAGTTCTTATCGAAAGGGGAAAAAACTGTAACTATGTGAGTTGATGGGTGTGAACTAAATATATTGTGGTAATTGTCTGGCCATATATACATATAGCAAATCATTATGTTGTACACCTTAAACTTATATAATGTTATATGTCAATTATATCTGAAGAAAACGGGGGAGAAAGCAGTATCTTTGGGTTACAAAATGTAAAATAAGGCATATTCAAATAAAAAATATACGATTTTTTTTAAAGATTTTATTTATTTATTTGACAGAGAGAGAGACAGTGAGAAAGGGAACACAAGCAGCAGAGGGAGAGGGAGAAGCAGGCCTCCCTCTGAGCAGGGAGCCCGATGCGGGGCTCGATCCCAGGACCCTGGGATCATGACCTGAGATGAAGGCAGACGCTTAACGACTGAGCCACCCAGGTGCCCCAAAATTAAGATATTAATAAAAATATTTTATAACCATAGAATAACTACTGAACATTTAAAGAACGTGTATTACAAAAAAATAATAATAACATGAAAATTAAAAAAAATTAAAAATTGACTTCTCTCTTGGGGATTTTCTCTCTCTCCCTTGCTCTCTGTCTTTCTCTCTCTCAGAAGCCACCCGCCACACCGTGAGGCAGCCCCGTGGACAAGCCCATAAGAGTGAGCCTGAAAGCAGATTTTTCCCCTGGCACCTGGACTGGAACCTTGTGAGAGGTTCTGAGCCACAACCACTCAGCTAAGTGGCTCCTGGACTTCTGACCCACAGAAACTCTCATTGCTTGGTGTAATAAATGTTTGTTGTTTCCAGCTATTCAGTTTTTAGATACTTTGTCCGGCAGTAATAGTCAACTCATCTGCATGCCTCGCAGGTGATTCTGACTCATGCTCAAGTGCGAGAACTGCTGTCCTACCCTAGGCACTCTCACCCAGCTCCCTGTTCCTTCTGGCTAATGCCTCGGACCTCAGCAGCGGCATCACTGAGAAAACAAGGGAGGCCTTCCCCGACCAGGAAGGCAATTTGTTCCCCTTGCTACACTGTTTCTTGATTCTCTGTGCTTCTCACTGTAACACTCAAAACTGTTCGAATTTCAGAAATGTCTGTCTTCCACCCTAGACACAACACCTGTGATGGCTGAGCCCAAGTCTAGCTTCTCCCGCTGCTTCGCTACTATGTCCGGCATCAGGACCACTCCCTAGGTCCACAATAAATATTTTTTAAATAAATGAAAACCAACAACAGGAACAGTAAAACCACCCCAAATCACATTCCTTCCTG